CCCCCCCCCCCCCCCCCCCCCCCCCCCCCCCCCCCGGGAGGATCCCCGCCCGGGAGCGGCGCCGTCCAGCTGTGGGGGGGCCGTGCGCGCTTGTCTCTCCTGGGCGTGCAGCGCCCTGCACCCGGGCCATGCATCCTGGCGCTTCCCAAGTCCCGAGCATCCCGCGGGCGCCCCCTGGAGGGGCTGCAGCGCGGCAGGCAGGCAGGCAGGCGAGGCGAAGAGCAGGCAGACCCGGCTTCCACCCACCTGTCATGCCGCCGGCCGGGCCGGGGGTTGCCCTGTGCCCAGGGGAGGGGGTGCCCACGTTGCCGTTGCCCGCCCTTCTCCTCCGGGACTCGCGGGCTCCTCCGTCCCAGCCCGGCCGGTCCTCCTGTCGCGGCCGCCTCTCCCTCCCCTCCACCCTCTCTGCAGCAGCAGCAGCATCCCCGAGCCGCGCGGGCCAATCAGAGGCGGCGGACGGGCGCTGCTGCAGCCGGGCAGAGTCGGAGCTCCGCGCAGGCGGCGGGCAGGTGGGCAAGCGGGCGGGCGGGATGCACGGCGCCGCCCGGCTCTCCCAGTGACCTTGGCCGCCCCGGGGGAAGGGGGGGGAGTGAAAGGGAGAGGGCCCGACCGACCTCCGCCCACCGTTCCGAGAGTTGGGAAGGGCCCCTCCCTGGCCCCGAGGAAAGGCGCCCAAGGAGAGCCGGGTGGTGAGAAAACGGGGTGAGACCCGCGAGCAAAGACAGGAGGCTGGGTCGCTGCTCCGGAGGCCTGAGTTCGGATCCTGCACGGCCCCGGGAAGCTCAGTCTGACCCCTGTCCTGCCCCTCCCCCTGGATGGTGGTTTTAAATTATGGTTTTTATGTGCTCCATTTGATGTTTTATTATTTTTTAAATTTCTGTGGCAAGTCTCCATCAGCTCCATAGGGAAGAAAGGTGAAGAAGAGGAAGATGATGAAGAAGAAGAGATTGGGTCTATACCCCTCCCTTCACTACCCAGAGGAGTCTCAGAGCGGCTCACAAACTCCTTTCCCTTCCCCTCCCCACAACAGACACCCTTGTGAGGTAGGCAGGGCTGAGAGAGCTCTGACAGAAACTGCTCTTTTTCAAGAACACCTCTTATCAGAACTACAGGTTGCCCAAGGTCACCCAGCCAGGCAAATGGAGGAGGGGTGGGGAATCAAACCCCGTTCTCCCAGATTAGAGTTCGCACCCTTAACCACGACACCAGACTGGCTCCAGGCACCAGGTGGGGAAAAAGTGTTTTAAATAAATAAATATTAAAAATGGGATGTTTAGGAGAGACATAAAGATAACCCGCTACTCAGAACCTCCTTGGGGCTCAGCCCGGGAACAGGGGAAGCTGCCCTTCCAATGAAACAGGCCACTGGGGGTTCGTCAACGCCAGCATTGCCTACTCAGACTGGCAGCTGCTCTCCGGGGTCTCGGACAGAGAAAGAGCTTTCACATCACAAGAGGGAATCGGATAAGCATCTGGAGCAGAGGCCCATCAGTGGCTATTAGCCACAAGGTATAGCTAGGAACTCTCAGTCTGGGGCAAATGATGCTCTGTGTTAAGAACATAAGAGACGCCAATGTTGGATCAGGCCAATGACCCATCCAGTCCAACACTCTGTGTCACACAGTGGCCAGAAATACCAGGGGCCATCGGGAGGTCCAGCAGCGGGGCCAGGACACTAGGAGCCCTTCTTGGTGTTTGGGGG